TATGCACGAAGATCATTAATTTTATATATGAGTGACACTTGACCCCCTGTAAATCCGCAATGTCCTGCGACTGTTATTATTATCTATTTCTCTCACGTATCACGAATTAATGTGTACTATTTTTTAAAAAAATCCCAAATGTCAAAAACCAATATTCGTAAAAGAAATAAAGAACAAGATGCCATGGAAGTAAAAGAGTAAGTGTCGTTTATTAAAGAATGGTGGTGGTTATCGCCACTTGTCATCACTCTAGTTAATTATATAAAAATACAATTTTTATGATTTTGAACGTGGTACTATTTATGGTCTATTGAAGGAAATAAATATTCTACAACATAACAATAATATTCGTAAGACATTAATTTTTTTTGTGGGATTTTTCCGATTTTTTTAATGATTTTAGTTGTTTGGTAAATTACTCAAAAACTAGCTTCCAATACTTTACAACAAACACATTATGCTCTTTTAAAGAAATTAATAATAAAATGTATTTTGGAACATTCTAGATGAAAAGACATCTACATGTCTATCTGATGATTTTTGATGTGGACTAGTATATTTGATTAATTAGTTGTGACTAGGAAAAAATCTAATCTACTAGCTGCAGCCTACAGTTCTCCAGCTGACTTGCAACACTAGTTATTATGACAACCTACAAATTTTGATGCCAAAGATCATCGTCACTGCCATGAAGATAACAAAGAAGGAACTTGCAGAGCGTGTAAAGTATGATTTTGTTAAATCTGATGGCTAAGTTCAAATATGTTGTATTTATTTTTTGGAAGAATTCTATGATTCATGGAACCCCAGAAACTCGAGTAGAGGCTCAACCACAGGAGATTCTCTTGATAGCACATTATGTGATTTGTTTTCAAATTGGTTTCAAAAGTTCGATTTGTTATACTATTTGTATTATTTTTGTTGTAATCGGAATAATCGAATGGCTTTGACTTAACTAATAACTCTAGACGAAAAGTGGACATTGGATCAACTCAAATGTTTTAGATTAAACAAAATTGGTAATTTATAAAGTGCTGTTTTTCTCGATTTCAGACTTTCATCATTCTAGCATTAGATTATTTATAATCATAAACATTGTAATGGATATATGGAACAGAAGGTATAGTGTAGATACAAGAAAATACTAAGCAATGAAAGAAAAATAGGTTCAAATAATACGTAGAAAAATACATAATAATTCATATATAAAGATATAAGACAACAAACCACCAGAGCAATTGCATGGGAAGAAAATACTTAAATCCAAGCCATTTATGGAGATCTATATTATTTATTATTATCTTTTTTTTTTATAGTGGAAGCAGTGACTCCTTTGTTCTCTTCATGTTACTCATGGATTTCAGTTGCCACTTTATTAAATGAGAAATCTGGCTTGACTCAGCCTCTTTATCAAAAGTATCTACAAAGTTTCAAATATTTTTATTCACTAATTGGTTTGCTTGTTTTCTTCTAAGCTCATTTGAATTAATTATTTTTATTAATTTTTTGGTTTACATTCTAAAAGTTTTTACAAGTTTTGTAATGAAGCAAGAAGCCAAGGAAAGGTCTAAACAATAAATATATCTATAAATTAATTTCGATGTTTCACAATGATACGATGTCTATGTACACATTGATAATACTATCCAGCAGGTCAAAAAAGGTTCTTTATAAGGAAGGCTTTCGTAATAATTTTTCCCCACACTTTAGAAGGCATAGAGATCACGCCAAAATTCATCATCAAAGGAGGATTCTATTTACCTTGCATGTTAATTAGCAAGTAATGTTGGTATTTGAAAATTCCTGTTTATCGAGCAATTTTATATAAATTTTCCTTCTATTTTTGGATGAAGTTAATAATGATAATATTATTGATGATAATACACTATATTGCACGTCATAAATATTTTAATTATCACTATTCTAACTTCTAAATTTTCTTTAATTAGGATATGAGTGTCTAAAGTATCTGAATGGAAATCAAAAATCAACCAATAAATCAACCAACGACTGTTCAATAGACTTTTGACGGAATATGATTCTTTAGCAATTAAAAGCCTTTGTGGGAATAAGTTCATCGCATTCCTTTGTTTTTGGCACAAGTTAACTTGTATATTATTATTTATTTGATTTATTTGGTTATATTGATGTTCATGTTCCTCGCTTGTCATTATTTTAACGCATTTCTCAAGTCAAGCTTCATGTTGAATTAAAACATGAGACATTTACTGTCCTTCGAACCTATTGAGATAGTATCAGAAGAGCTTGTTGTGACATTCCACCACAATCTTGAATATTACAGTCCTGGACTACGTTTACATATATTGAAAGCAATCATGTGGCAGGCTAGGTGACATCTTAGTTGGCGAGCAAATAAAATTATGTGTTGCTTTGTCATAGTGAGCGAGCGAGCGAGCGAGTGAGTGATAACAAAAATTAAAGAAGATAAAGATATTATAGTGTAAACAATAACAACAATTCAATTATTGCTTCTACAACTATTTGTTGTGCAGCCACACCACACGTAATTGATTTTAAAGAAGAACACACACACCATTTTAAAACCTATATATACGTTGGCAATTTTCAACTTGAATGATTCATGCTAAATTCAGACAGAATAAATTAAACTTTGGATTTCTGAAAAAAATCTCAACACGCGCACAAAAATCATTTAGTAATGGTGATGATGGTGGTGATCTTCTTTTCGATAAGTTATTTGCAAGAAGTGATAAAAAAAACTTAATTCTAAAATTAGCGTGAGCAAGCCTTTGGCTAAAATCAAACATCCAGATTATTCTGATGATGAATTCTCAGATTCTGATCTACCTCCACTTGTTCCAGATCCATTAAGGGTATCTCGAAGTGTTATCTTTACCAGTGGACCTAATAGAATGGTTTTAACTAATACAATAATTGTAACAGATCTTATTTCTGAAATTAGAGTATCATCAGCATTGACTGATTCAGATCCGGATTTTGATGGACCTATCATTTACATTCTAAAATAATAGTATACAACTATTTAGTCGCATATAAAAATAATTTTCAATGTATTGCGGAGCAATGGCTCTTCGAGCCTTATCATAATAAGTATTTCTTATCTGAAAATGTGTCTGTATGTATTGTTGTTGTATAAAAACGATTAAGCTTTTTTTTTGACATCGAATAAGGGGCCTGTGCGTCGTATGAGATATACCAAAGTTTTCGATTTTACCTATCAGATAAATTTATAATAATTAGGATTGGTATAGACAATAGATCGTTCATAAAAAAATGATTAATTAATGTATACTAAATTTACTATGCTTACTAGAAATTATTTTTCATCCGAGATCGCCCATAGAAAATAAATTGATCTCATTCATGACTATATTACTCCGAAATTGTTAATTTATTGACTTGCGGAAATATTAACACTATAAAAGAAACCAAATTCGGATTTATCTTTCAGAGAAAGTATATTTCATGCATTATTTACGAAAGATTTCATTATGTCTACCACTAATCTCAAAAATCTCGCATATAATATTTTAAAAGAATTTGTAGATCCCATTGTTAACGGTAAAGAATTTCCGGAACTAGAGAAATGTTCAGAATGTAATAATAAAATATTTTCGCATCCTCTTAAGGCATTCACAACATTACAATGTGGCCATGTATTTCATAGAGTCTGCATTGAAAAAAATCTTTTAATTACCATACCAAATAAATGCCCTTTTCCTGGGTGTAATCAAAGCGTTGAGATCGTTGTAGATATTTCTAGACGAGAATCTCAGTCAAGTGATACTTCAAGCGTAATTGGTAGAATGAATAAGCAACTCGAGATCCGTTCTACTGAAGCTTCGCAGGAGGATCAAGAAATGGATTTGGATGATGAAGGTGAAGATAATCAAATCGCTACCACCACTTCAAAAAAAAGACCACGTAAATGATCTCGTAATGATGATACCTCTACTGGAAAAATGGAAAGGTTGGTAAGAAGGAATCCGATGTATTAAAAGAGCTAATAAAAGAATTATCGACTGAGCCTGAGGTTCCACAAGCTTCTGTATCTAGAAAAGAAAACGCTGATAATTTTTTCGATTTGTATAACAATATCACCAATGCCGAAGCCCAAAACGAAATTACAAATCAGGAAGTTATAATTTGCTATTATCTTTTTGGAAAATCTTTCTCGGAACGTCTTGAGCATCATAAAAAATCTAATTCTCCATACGCGTCTTCGTTGCTAGTTAATAATGAAGTTAGGAATCAGCTTCCAAATATTACGGATACTACACTATGGAAGAAAGTGGAGAGGTCGCGAAAAATTTATAAACTCTTTATCAACATTGGAGAGGATAAGATTCGAAGAGTAAGAACTTTCAGCGCATTGACTATTTCAAAATTAAGAAAAGAGGATATTGATAATATAATACCTAGGGGTAAGTAAATAAGTGGGGGGGACAACTCGATGTTACACATATAGATTTTGTGAATCCAAAACTGTCACGCA